ATATCAAGATCAAGTGGGACGACCAGCGCGAGATATTGCACCATTCTTGGTCTGACATTCGTGATGATATGCAGTTGAAGAACCCGCGGGGAGCATCTGTGCACATGATCGGTACCCCGAATCCTCGCCCTCGTCGCCGCCAGCGGGCTGGCGATCCCGGTCCGGCTCCGTCGTCTGCGCCCCAGGAGTGGTCGAGGATCTTGTCTGAGCGGTCCCGCAGGTGAGGCAATCAGAATATATTCCAACTTTCGCCAGAGCATTGGCAGGTGAACGCCTGTGCTCGCAGCAGGGTTTGTGCGCATTTTGAGCGATTGCAGTTGAACTGTGATTCTTGTTGTTGCTTTGCTCCATCTCAACAGGATTGCATATGCTCTCGTTTCTCTGTAATCTCTTGGGCGGATTCAGAAGACAAGTTGGCCCTTCCATGCATGCAGGCTGTTCGGGCTCCTCTTGCTTCATCTTTAACCCGTGTAGATTGCATTGTGAATGCTGTGCGTAATTTCGGCATTATGCCTGTTAATGTTCGCAACGGCACGAGCAACAGGTATTGCCAGCAGCGTGCGTACATAATCCTGCGGCACACGTCGTCTGATCTTGTTGCACATCTTTTGGATCTCAAGTATTGTTTGTCCATTAAGCACGCTCCTTCTGTCCTCTCTTTTGTGTCCTCTGCTCTTGCTGTTCTCAAGCTCCTTCGCTCTGTCCTTATTTTCCAATCTCTCGGTTGCTCTTCGCTCCGGTCTCACATTAAGCTTCTCAGATTTCTGGCGCAGTCAGCCCAGTTCGTTAATGCGAACAGGGTGTCTTCCGAGGCGACTTGTAATGTCGCGTGCATGTGGGTGTCTCTCGATTGCAATCTGAGCTACGCGGGAAAAAGCATTCGCGGCATCGAGACCCGCACTGCCGAGCATTATAATAATCTCTTGCGTCGCAATGCGAATGCCCAAATCCCCGCCTACTTTAAAATCCGATCTGTTGGCGTAGGTGAATGTATTCAGGTGCCGCTGCTGATTCTTTCTAGTTCTAGTGACTTTGAAATGCGATTCATTGAAAAGCAATGCATATCATTGTACAGGCCTCAATTGAACGTTCCCTTTGTGCGGAAGCATGTTCACACTGCACTTGAGCACGCCAGTGATTCCCAGCACGTTGTGAAGCCTTTAGCTACCTCGTCCAAGCCCCGCGTTGTCAGGAATGCCAACCCAGACGCGTTTTTGCGCGGATGTCAAATTCAACATGGCGACACGTGGGCGGAAAAAGAGATCTCCGCAACTTATTGTTTACAAAAGCGTAGCCTCTCTGCCTTAGTGTTGAGGCTAGGCGAGCTTCGTAGGAAAGGTAGTTATTCCAATAAGGTCTTACAGTGGGTGTGCAATCATAAGCCGGATTTAATCCCTCGTCTTCTTGATCGCCTCCCTCGGCTCCTTTGCGGTAACAGTTTAAGTGTGGCTAGACATCGTTGTTTTCAAGTACTTGATAAGAAGTTTTTACGCAACCACGTGTCAGTGCAAATTCGTGTTCCTACGATCCCGCTCCTTCCTCTCCGTTCTCTTCTGCTGTCGGAGATTCGCCAACAGATGACTGCCCAGTTAGCGGCCGGGACTTCTCTGACACTCCAGATGAAGCGGTGTTCTGCCCCCAGCCCTAAACTGATGCTGGTGAATTCCAAGCATTGGGGTCGCAAGTTGGACCGGTACGAATTTCCGTGCACGTGTGGTGTGTTGCAAAGCATGTTGCGTGTGGGTGTGTCTTCTAATGGTCATGTTTGTTGTCTTGCTTCTGAGTCTTCTCTGGCCGGTTGCATTCCCAAGAGCTTCCACTATGAAGGGTCATGCGTGTGGTCTCATCACGCTTTAACCCAGCAGTTGGAAAGTATTGCGCAACATGTTGTTTCTTCTTGTAATCGCGTGTCCTTTTGTTGGCCTTGATCTCAGTGACTTGCATGATCTCACAGCCAGGGAATTTCAGCGTCATAATCAATTCCGTCATTTTGGTGTGGCCCAGAGCGATGTACAATGGTGGCGTCGTACATTGTTCGACACCGCTGTGGTGGCACCAGTTGACAAGCACAAAAGCACGGTTGCTATCATGTGTCCCCGGAGTTGGCAGAGTCGCACTCGCGAGTGTTTTCGTCGTGATTCGTGGCGTGATCAAAAATCCCTCGGTGGCCCGTGATTCACGAGGCGTTTGAGGAGCTCCAGGCGCATTGTAGTTATACCGGTATTCCGGTGAGGTCTGTGCAGAGTCACATGTTCGGAGGTGCTGATTGCTGGCCGAAGATATCGAATCTTGCTGTGAAGAGTCGGCCTCTGGGTGTTCATTCAAACACTGTTTGAGAGGTCTCTTCTCTCTCTCTCTCTGTTGTCGCGCCATCAATTTCATGCTCTTGTCCACCCGTCCTGCTTCCATCTCCGTTTCTTCTTCTGCTTCTGTTCTCTCTCGCTTTCATTCTTTCAATCTTGATTGCCAGGTGTGGAAAGACCGAGGCTTCGAGCCTACGATGGTGTCGCTCAAACGAGATATCGAGAATTTCTTTAACAATGTTCCGCGCGCCTTGATTTCGAAAGCATTGGATTGGCTCGTTGCTGAGTGGTACGATAAGCATGGTACCCGGCGTCGATACATCAAGATTCCTCGGTGTAGGAAGCCGGCCAATCGTTATTGCGAGAGTCCCACGTGTTTCTCTAGGAGTTTCCGGGCTCATTTCCGTAATCTTGCTTGTGGTGATCGGGTGTTTCCTTCCCCTCATAATTGTCGCGTCGTGTCGTCTAATTCGTTTATCCTTCACGTTGATGATATTAAGCGAATTGTGCAGATGGACTTGTCTTATGGTTTTCTTCATTTTGGCCATGATCTGTTCGCGCCAAGGGAAGGCATGACACAGGGTAGTAATTTGTCACCTGGTGTTTCTAACGCTGTGTGCTGTTACCTGGAACGGAAACAATGCCTCGTCCCTGCGATTGTGAGCCTCCCCCATGTCCAGCACGTCAACAGCGTTATTTGCCGTTGGACTGATGACATTTTCGGTGTTTTATGTTTTTGGACAAAACACGGCAATGATGAGGAGGGAATGAGAGCAGTTAAGTCAGCTACCGGAGAGTTCATTAAAGAATTCTCATCTGCGTACACTGGAGCCGTGCATTCTCGCATCACGCGCAAAACCAATCATGTATGTTTGAACTTGAAGATTGAAGACCCTGCGGTGTTCGTTGGTTTTGATTTCATTTTGGGTTCATGTGTCCAGCTACGCCCTCAGATCCGTAATGTTGATCTTCTCTCTTCTCCGGCCCCTCTCTCGCTCCCTTTCCCTCGCTATCAGGCTTGGCATGCGAATCGTAGCCTCCAGGAGAAAATTGGCAGTGTTATAGGCTTGATCACTCAATGTGTGGATCGGTGTCTTGTTGTCGACCCAGAAGGTTCGATTGCGTCTGTGTTTCTCGAACTGCGGTGCCTTGAGTACCCGTGAAGGCCCTCGAAGATGCTGCGTCCAGATTGTTGTTGAAGCATCCTTATCTCTCGTGTGTGTCTCGTGCTCTTCTTCGTGCCAAAGCGAAATGGGCTACCAATGCTTAACCCTTGCGTTGCTGCTCCCCCTCTTCTTTCTCCCCCTTGCACGGCCCATTGATATTTACAGTCACACATTTATGCTGGCGTGGTGCGAGTGATTCCGGCACCCCGGGTGTTTCTCGTCTGTGCTGGGAGAGTGCATGCACGCATGCTCTGTTGCGCATGTTGATATATCGCGAAAGTAACCTGGGCCGAATTTGCGTGCATGTGTAATTCCTTTGTGCACACACCATCCATTGTCTGTCTTGTTCTCTCCTTGTCTCCCTGCTTCTCTCGCTCTCTGCTGTCTCCATGGCCGTTGTGTGCTCAGACTACAGCCCAGTGGAGTAGTCAAAAAATCGTCAGAGAAACTGGTGAGGATACGCGAAGCGTCAAACAAGATGTAGATGCATACTTATGTGCGCACATGTGTGTATTGCGATGGATGTCATTTGTACATGTATGTATTTGGCATGCTTGTATCATGCGTGTATGCGTATAATTCTGCGAAAACGCTGGAATCCAATACAACTAGCATAGACTTGTAAAATGTAACCCCCAAAATGGAACCTTCACCTTCCACACCTTCTGTGTGGACTGTGCGGACGGTGGAGGCTCAGGGAAGCTGGTCCATCATACGTGTCTTTCGGATCTCGAGGATGGAGGAGGAGAGTCTTTGGACGTCTTGGGAAGTTCTTGGGGCATTCCTGGCAGCCTTTTGTGCCTCCAGAGGCCTCCAGAGCCCTTTGGGGGGCCGAGGGGCTCTGGGGACCTCCAGAGCTCTGCGAGGCGGATCATGTTGAGGCCCCTCGCCCCCAATGCGTCCGAGCCTCGACGACATGCCGCCCCCAGAGATTGTCGGCAATCTGCCTAGGCCTGATGTCGATTTGCCTGACGTCGATTTGGCGCCTTTCTCGGGCGCGGAAGACATGGTTCCGGCGCAGTCGGATCGCATCGCATGGCATAATCCTCCTGCACATCCTCCTCCTGTTCTTTCTTCATGCCACAATTATTATCATCATCCCTGTCCTCCTCTCGTCCTCCTCTCCTCATTCCCTCACTGCTACTCCGCAACATCCCTTTACCTGCAGGTCGTCATCTCGTCCTCCTCCACGAACATGATCCTCAGCCTCTTGTCTCCCCGTCGTCCTCTTCCCCCTCCCATTCCTCATGACCATAGTGTGTTTCGTTCTGGTTAATCTCGATGGGACCTCTGGCATTGGACGAAGGGGCTCGTGATCTTGACCCGCATTGCTTCGGCCACATTCCGACTGTGCAAGCAGACAACACACTGGGAAACAACTCTCAGCACATACGAAATCGGACGCCGTACATCTTGTCTTCTGTGGGTCGGCGGAATGGCGTAAGCTTCTTAAGTACAGGTGCGCACTTACAACGCTGTTGGCATCACTGCGTACACGCATATGACCCCCCTCCCACTGTCAACTACCAGCCTCAACATAGTCTCCGCCTCGTGCACCGAATCGTGCAACGGCAGCAGCAAGTACCTTCCGGGGTTGAGGGGCAAAGCGGCAACGGTCGCGAGGCCAAAGGCAGGAGGCAACATTAGGGAAGGATGCCGAGGAAAAGGAAACAACGAATGCTGATATGATACATTTGGAAACACGGTGATACCCGCGAGGCCAAAGAGCTGAGGGATGAACCAGAAAACAGGGAACACTGGCAGGGTAAGGCACCCGCGAAAACATGAGCCGGAGGAGGACGAACACAGAGAGGAACAGGCGCCGAGGGGGGAGAAGGCCAAGAAGCTGGTGGCGTATACATCGCTCGAAATAACTCTGCAGCTTGCAAGTAGAGCTCGGCCGAGTAGCCAAGTAGGATGCGTAACGAGATGCAGAACAAGACAAGCATGAGTGGCAACACCCGACAGTGAGACATAAAGGTAATAACAACTCGATCAGACAACCCCAAGCAGTGGCCGGGGGCATCGAACATATAATTACTAACATCGGTTATCTATATATTCGGTAACATGCGAACAACGGAAAACATGGACACAACGCATAACATAGGACGCGCTACAAGATGCGATGCATCAACCACATCACGCTAGCATAGGGCACTGCAAACTATTTTTCTGGACCGGTTCCACCACCTGCGTGGCTCCAGACTCCCTCTAGAATTCCTACCAGGAAGGAGGGCGGGAGGAGGGAGGAGTGGGATAGAACAACAATCATCAACATAAACATTCACGTTCGGAGATCGGCGCGAATGTCTCGGGTCGGCGCGAGACCCCCCCGCACGACAGGTGTTCGTCCAGCACCGACCCACGGGAACCGCGACGACCTCCGAAAACTCATGCCTCGCCAGGGGGGTAGAGGAGGGGTCCGTCGCCGACCCAAGAGATTCGCGCGGACCTCCAATAATTTATCGACAGGTTGTTTCCTTTCGACAGAAACAAGGAGGGGGACTGGAGGGGGGGAACAGAAATACGAGGCTTGAAATGATACGCGTCCACCATCTCGGGGTCCGATGTGCAGGACCCCGGGAAGCAATGGAACTGGATACCTTCATACCCCCTGGGGACCCGAAAATATCTAGATCCGCTGCCTCCGAAGGCCCTGCTAAATTGTGGAGACGTTCGCCGTTCATCCGGTCCACCGGTCCAACAGTCCACGAAGTCCACTGGTCGGCCCGTCCACCGATACACCGGTCCACCGGCCCACCAATCCAACGGTCCACCTGCCGGTCCAGCGAACCACTAGTCCGCTGGTCCACCGATTTACTGGTCCAACGGTCCACTGCAATCCACCGGTCCATTGGTCCGCCATGACGGGTCCACTGCCGGTCCGTTGGTCTGCCGGTCCACCGGTCCACGGGTCCGCCGGTCTACCGATCCACCTGAAAACCATCGTCGGTCCACGAGTCCACTGGTCCACTGTTCCAAACCAGTCTGGCGGTCGACAGGTCCACGGTCCACCAATCCACTGGTCCACTGGTGCAACGGTCCTTTTGGTCTTCCGATCCGCTGGTCCAGCGGTCTGGAGGTCGATTTGTTCACTGGTCCACTGGTCTAGCTGTCCGTCGGTCTCCATCACCAGCTCATCCTCACCAGCCCGATGCCAATGTTGAAAAGGATTGTGATGCTGGTGACTGTGCTGACGTCGACGACGACGGCGAACGACGATGATCCCGCTCTCCCAAGGAAAGTCGCCGCCGAATCGCAGTCGCCCACCCTCAAACTATTTACATTACCTCGGAGTGCCTCGGCCTGGCGATATCGAGCGGTCGCGGAGCGGGCGAGGCGGGCAGGCTCCACCTTTTGATGGGTGGGGCCCTCGCTTCACTCTCTTCAAACACTCCGTAACTCTCTCTGAGGGGGGGTGGGGTGGGCCTAGGCACGGCTCGACGAGGCCCTTCGCTCGCGTGGACGACGCATGGGCCCCGCATCTCGAGCAAAAGCCCCCCCCCCCCCCCAGCGCGGTACAACGCGCGTGAACGGTCGAAACGCAGATGCCATCATGGGGGCAACTCTTCCCAGAGACTGGCCGCCGAACTCGGTTGCCCCCCTGGTGGTCCTATGCTGCTGCTGCTGCCTCCGCCCTGTGGGGACTGCTGCTGCTGCCGCGCAGGCTGCTGCTCCTCCTCGCCGCTGGCCCCCCCTCCCCCGCTCGCGGCCGCGGCGGCAGCTCCTGCCGCCAGCGCGGCGGCGGCGAAGCCTGGCCCCCCCGAGCGACCCCCCCCCCCTCCAGAGGCCGGCGGGCAAGCGCGGGCTGGGACAGGGGCGCTTGGGGAGGAGAGGCGAGGCAACTCCAAAGAGCAACTCCAGAATCTGACACAATGGTGGAGCCGTGTCGCGGGCATGGCCTGGCATCACATGCATCGCACGACGCGTGGCTCCTCTGCTTGCAATCTGGCACCGCGCATCTGACGGCGGCCAGGGCAGGGGGGTCGATACCGTCCTCGACCCTGAACCAACAGTATCCCTCCTGCGCCGCCGTCCCGACCCACCGACCCAAGCTCGCCCCCCGCGCATCGGCGATCGTGGCAGCTTCAGCGAGCGCGGGCCAAAAGGGGTGACAGCTCGCGCCTTCTTCTGCACGGGCATCTGCACAACTGTTACCTTGACGCTGCCAGAGAGAGATGACCCCGCTTGACGCATCATTCATGAAAGCGTGCCCCTTCACTTTGGTTATCTGGATATACTCGCAGCCAACGTCGCCCGCGCGACGCCAGAAAAACTGCCATATCTCACGGCGTGGTCTGTTCCATCCTGCGAACCACTCCTCGCCGGCCTCCCAGCCGTCAACCGGGAGCGGCGAGTCACCGGAGAAATGACTGGGGGCAAAGCATGCGCCGGCGCCTCAGCCGCGGCCAGCAGCTCACCTGCCCCCGACCCCTGGGGCCAGGGCCACAACACTGGGCACGAGATGCTGGAGAGCTCAGCGCCCGTGGGGACGGTGGCGCAAGCTGCCCAGCCCGCGCGCGCCACGATGCGGCCCTGGCCCCTGTGGGCGGAGCCGCCCAAGAACACCTCGCCATGTAGTGCCCCCCCCAGCTCTTGGCCCCGCTGCGCGGACCATGTGCGCGGCGAGCGGCGGGGGGTGGCCGCGTCTCGGATCCTTGACCAGGCGCCTCGACCATTGGGCGCGCACGCTGTCGGCGTCGCGAGGGCCCCCAGAGCTCAGGAAGCGGTCGAGGTTCGGGTCGTCAACCTCCCACTGCCTGCGCATGCCGCCCAGCGCGGGGCAGTCCCAAGCCAGGTGCCCGAGGGCCCCCCTCGCCTCGCAGCCCACAGGGCAGCGCCCTGAACTCGCCAGCGGCGGGGAGGCCTCGGAACGCCGCCGCGCAGGCCAGAGGCAGCTGACGACGGAATTCCTGGCCGAAGACCAGCGCGCCGCCCAGGGTGGGCTGCCCTGCGCCCTGCAGAGTCTGCGGCGCATGCCCCTCGCGGCGGCGCCCCCCGCCAAGTGGCTCAGCATGGGGTCGCGACAGGCGGTGTCCCGCTAGGGCTTCCTGATGAAGGCGGCCTGGACCTCGCGGCCGAGGGCGCGCTTGTCGATGGCCCCCGGGTCGACGGGGCGCTGCAGGCTCGCCGCCAGGCCCTCGGCCCCCGCCGAGGGTCGCATAGGGGGTCGTCGCACGGCTTCTCGGACACCAGGTAGCTGAACGCTCCTGCCCGCGCCCGTGCCGAACGCGATCGCCGCGCCTGCGACCGCCAGCGCAGCGGCGCCTTGGTGGACCAGGCCATGCACGAGATGCCGTAGGTCGCGACAGGCTTCAGACCTGAGTAGATGAGTTGAGCCCCCGCGGCCTTGGACGATCGTCGCACACGTAGGGCGCGGTCGGCCTGGGAGCTGCTCGTGAACGTGCTCGAGCTGGCCACGGTGACAGCCTTCCCGCCCATGGCGTAGTCCACCCCGAGGTTCCTGGCCGCCTTGGCGCGCAAGAAGGCGCCCACAGCCACGCTGGGCTCTATGATGCGGCGGAGCCCGTCGGAGCCGCCGAGGATCTCGCTCTTTCCCCTCGAAACCACGGCGCCCAAGATCCGCTCGAAACTCCCGGCGACTGCCCCCGCCGTCTGGTCCAGCAAGATGCCGACCTCTGCCTCGGTGCCCGTCGCGCGCAGGGAGCAGTCATCGAACGCGATGGCCAGGGGCGCCAGCATGCACATTCCGCGGTGCTCCGCGTCGACGACGGCCACGCAGCATCGGGGCAGGCGTCCGGCGCGTCCGCGCCCAGCCACCGAGCCCGTCGCCCGGTGGAAGGCCTCTGAGACGATGCCGGCGAGGACGATCCCCCTTGGACCCTTGTAAATGCTGAGCGCCGAAGCTGTGGGGGCCAGGGCGCCCTCCTGCCTCCGCGCGCCTCTGAGCGACAGCCAGCGCGACCGCCTCGCAGGCCTTCCAAGTCCTGGGGCACACCCCCCAGCACATGCACTCCCGCTGTCCGCTGACTCGTGGAGGAGGGCTTGCCACCAGACAGCTTCCTCCGCGGCCTTCCCTTGGGCACTCCAGAAGTGTCCTTCTTCTCTGGCGGCAGGTTGGCTTCCCGCGCGCGGCTGCCCCTCTGGCGGGCGCGCGCCCGCCATCTCGGCAACCGGGCGAGGGGCCGTGTAGGAAGGAACCCGCCCTTGGGATCGATGGGCACGACTAATTGCATTGAGCTCGCGGCCGATGAAAAAAAAAAAAAAAAAAAAAAAAAAAAAAAAAAAAAAAAAAAAAAAAAAAAAAAAAAAAAAAAAAAAAAAAAAAAAAAAAACACACCGAGGCGCTCGCAGGCCATGCAGAGGTCGAGGCTCTCGACGCAGAGGTTGCTGAGGCCCGCTATGAGCCTTGGGTTGAAAAGGTCGGCCCCCGCCCCTGTGCGCCCGGCAAACTGCTTTGCCGCCCTGCCAGCTCGCTCGAGCGAGGGCCTCTCCAGCGGCGGCCTCGTCGGAGGCCTGGGCGCGGGCTCGGACGGCCCCGCTGAGCCCTTCAGAGCCCAGACAGCTCGGGGCCAGAACAGGGCCACCGCGTCGACCGCCCGCCCACGGGGGCGCCCTCCACGATCTCGTCGGGCAGCCCGCCCTGGGGCCCCCTGTTGTAGGCATGGACAGCTCCACCTCCCGCCTTCATTGACCGCGGAACCCACTCCGAGAAGCCCTTGGCCTGGCCCACGCGGAAGGTGTCCGCGAGCGCGGTCGCCCCAGCTGTCAGGGCGTCTGCCCAGGCAGCGCGGGCCTCAGGCGACGCGGAGGGGCCGTCCTGGGGAGCGCCCTTCCAGGCGGCTGGCAGGCCACGGCGCGTGGCGTCTGGGAGGGGGCCCTCGGCTCCTCTGCGCAGCCAAAGCGCCAGGGCCTGCAACGGCCGCGCCTCTCCGCGGGCCGAGGGCTGTAGGCGTCCTCCAGGGCCCTTCGGTGGCCGTCGCCAGCGGTGGAGGGATGGGCGCCCCCTCCCGACCATCTTGCCTGCGTCGGCGGGGTCGATGTAGTAGATGCTCAGCAACTCGTCCTCAACGTGCCCCATGATGCCCAGGAAGGCCCTGTCAAGGTCATTCTGGCAGTTGGCGCCCTCGCAGAGCGCCTGCACCTCGGCGTCGATCCTCGGGGGCTCCCGAGCAGGACCCACTGGCCTCTCTAGCGGGAAGGGCCGCGGGGCGACGAGCCTCCTTTCCCCTCTTTCCTCGCCCCCCTGCTTCGGCGCGAGGGCCGCGGCTCGGCGCGGCCAGAGGGCGGGGGCGTCGATGACCCGGCAGCTCTGGGCCCCAGCTGCGGGCGAGGTCCTGAGACACGATGAAGAAGTCGAGCCCCGATGGCGGCGCGTCCTCGGCGAAGTGGCAGCCGCCGAGGCCCTCGGAGTTGCTGGCGACTTGGCCGCAGATGCCCTCGAGCCAGAGCCGAGCCTTATCCGTGAATAACCCAAGCCCAAAGTTGAAGCCCCCGCCGATCACGAAGGGCCCCCCGACGCCTCGAGCGCGCGCCCGAGGGCCCGCAGGGCCCCTCCCGAGGTTCTCTCCCAGGCGGTCGCCGCCCAGATACACGCTGGCCGCGAGGGCGCCGCCCCGCTTGACCCCCATCGGTGTGGAAGCATGTGTAGCTGCCCGTGGAGACATGCTGCGGCCGGCCCCCAGGTGCCTCGGCTGCTGCAGAGGAGGTGGCAGGCAGGGGCTGGGCCGCGCCGCGACCCGACCAGACCGCCGCGTCCGCGCCCCCTGGCGCTGCCTGCCGCCGCCGCAGGTCGAGGCTGTCCTGCTTCCTGCTGTCAGGGGCGAGGGCGCCTCGCAGGCCTCGGCGGCGCAGCCGCTGTTCCTCGCGGGCGGCGCCTCCGGGGAAGAGGCGGGTCTCTTGCGCGAGCCAGCGCTGCCCAGCACGCGCCCTCTTCGCCAGCTCCTGCGCCTCGCCCAGGGGCCCGCCCTACATGTGGTTGCGAGCGGTCCCCAACCAGAGCCGTTCGCGAAGACGAAAGTGAACAACTGGCCAGCTCGGCCCCCGCCACGGCGCCGCCCGCTGCTAGGTTGACGCCGGGGGCTTGCCAGCCTGGCCAGCCGCGCGGTCGGCCTTCGCTGCCGCCCCGAGCTCGTTCAGGCGCTCCCTGGAGATGCTCGCCTTCGCTGGGGTGGCGGGCCGCCCAGCTGGCGCCGCGCCGCCAGCGGCGCCGCGCTGGGGGCCAGCGCCGCAGGCGCCCGCGGCGCCCCCCGCACCCAGGGCCCCCGCCCTGCTGGCGCTGTCGGCCCCCGCAGTGCCAGCCTCCTGAGCAACAGGGCCGCCGGCGCCATCAGTGCCTTCGTCTTCGCACCGCCTCTTCTTGGTCTTCCTGCGGAAGTCCTCCTGCAGCTTGGACAATGCCTCTCGCCGTCGGCTGAGCTCCTCGGCGGCTGGCTTGAACATGGGCCCCACCTGCTTGGAGAACTCGGCCTTGAACTATTCGAGCGCGAGGCCCCACTCCGCCTGCTCCGCCTCGGTGAGGGCGACGCCCTCGAAGTCGAAGGCGTCGCCCAGCTCGAAGGAGAGGCCCTCTCTCCCAACCAGGACGGATTTGGAGGTTGGCAGAGACGGAAGCCGAGGCGCCCTGCTCCTTCTCGAGACAGGCCTCGGCATGGGCGGTGGCCCGCGTCTGCTCGTCGAGGGCTGCAGCGTATTCGGCGGCGAGGGCGTCCCCCAACTCCTGTCACTGCGCGAGCCATGAGCGGGCCTGCTCGGTGGCGTCTATGGCCTCGTTGAGGGCCTTGGTGGCCCGCCTGGCGGCCCCCCAGGCAAGCTGGGCCGCCTCGTCTGGCAGCTCAGCCCTAGTCGCCGCAGGCGCTGGCAGCAGCGCGGCCTCCAGGTGCTGGAAGGCGGTGACGGCGGCCTTGGGGAGCTCCTCCTTGCGGCGCTGGACGGTCTCGTCTCTTCGCGCACCGACTGGCTGGCAGCACGGCCACCTCTCCGCGGGGGGCGACTTGGCTGCCTGTCCGCTCGGCCTGCGGCCCAGGGCGGAGCGGGTGCAGGCGCTGCTGCTCGTGCTGCATGGTTGGCCCAGGCTCCCACGGGCTCTCTCGCTGGTGAGGGCGACGGGGCCAGCTGATGACCGCAGCTGGAGCAGCAGGGGCGGGTCTTCATGTCCACTTGTATTGTCACTTTGAGCACCGCGCAAATCCTGCTTGATCACCACGACGGCCATTGCTCACGGCAGTACGATCGGAAATTGAAGGACGTTGGCTCTGCCAACACTCCCCAGAGTGCTCACACCGCCCACGAAGGCCTCGCACCCGCTGGGGATGCACCGCCTTGAGCCGGCATGGCTACGGAGGGTGATGCGGATGCTGATGATGATGGTGGTGATGGTGATGATCGTGATGATCATTGTGACGACGATGGTGATGATGCTGAGGATGGTGTTCATGATTATGGTGTTCATTTTTATCATGAATAATATGATGGGTGCTATGATGGTGCTGATGCTGATGCTGATGATAATTTTGATGGTGCTGACGGCGCTGATGATGACAATGCTAATGATGGTAATGATGCTGGTGATGGTTACGACTAAAATTATAATGATGATGGTGGAGAGGGCGATGATCATGATGTTGATGGCGATGGTGGTAATGGTAATGGTGGTGACGATGCGGACGATGATGATGCTGGTGGTGATGATGATGATGCTGAGACTGGCGATGGTGATGCTGATGCTGATGACGATGATGGTGGTGATGATGATGATGATGGTGGTCGTGGTGGTGGTGTAGACGATTTAAAGCAGGGGGCGATGATAAGGAACACGAAGACGAGGAAGAGGAGGAGGGGGAGGAGGAAAAGAAGGAGGAAGAGGAGTAGAAGGACCAGACGCAGGAGGAGAGGGGGATCAGGAAAAGGACGAGGGTTGGACGGGAAAAGGAATACGAGGAGAAGGAGGAGGAGGACATTGAGGAGGAGAAGGATGAGAGTGAAGGCGATCATTAGCGACAAGGAGGACGGCGACGAAACAATCACACAGGCTTCTGCCGATCTTCCACTCTTCGGACCCTCTTGGGGGCCGTTTTGGAGCCCTCTTGGGCTGCTCTTGGGGCCCTCTGGGGCCATCCTCGAGCTATCTCGGGACATCAGAAGACCATCGGAAGAGAAAAGGCGAGACACCCAAAGACATAATTCGTTTAAGATGTTCGAAAGGTTTGGGTCTCTTGGAGGTCTTCTTGGGGGTCCATCGACACTTGGATTCGTCTTGGGAGTGGATTGGGGCCGCTGGGAGTCTCTTGGAAGCCACCTTGAGCCATAGCGGGATATCTTGAGCCATCTTGGAGGCCAGCTTGGGATCTCTGAGGCCTTCTTGCAGCCATCATGGGCCATCTTGGACGCTCCAATGGATCGCCGCCCCTGCCGTCCAGACCCAGGGATGGGGTCAGCGGGAGGGGTAAACCCTGCAATGGTCACCTTGGAACCTTGCTCATTTTTGCTATGCGTGTTGACTGTAGGCCCCCACAACGCTCAAAGAGGACCTAAACAGGACACGCAAGCGGGGCCCGAGAGGCAAAAGTCGCAGGTGCCCCTCAAGTTTTGTTATGGGCTTGACATCATCGCCTGTTCGGGCCTAAGAGCGTACAAGACGACCCCCAGGTTGTCCCGAAGACGATCCAAGAAGCCCCCCAAACCAAGGCGGCCCAAGAGTTCCCAAGAGGCCCCGACAAGGCCCCCCAAACGCCATCCAAACAGCCCCCAAAGCTTAAAAACTGCATTTGCGAGGGCCCCGAGAAGCCTCCCGGGACATCCCAACAAGCATCCTGGAGGCCCATGGCCCACAACCCAGGCACGGTGCTGTGATGGGCCGAAAACCCTTATATGTAGTACTTATGTGCGCACATACATCCGCCACCGTGCCGCTGGGCACGGAATGGGCGTGTTCTCAGGTTCTTTGCCCAGTCCCCTGCAGTCCTCGAGCCTCAGGGTTTTTAAAAGGGTCCGGACCCCAAGTTCCCAAACCTTCGTTGTCTTGGCGCGGTTCCCCTGGGCTCCGGGACATCTTCTCGCATGACTTTGGGGCCCAAGAGGGCTCCAAGACGGGCCAAGACGACCTCAAGAGGCCCCGAAGACGATTCAAGAAGGCCCTGAGTCGCCGAACGATCGCTCCAAGACTCCCAAGATAGCCCTCAAGACGCCCTCGCCTCGTCGGCTTCCCGACGCTCCCAGACGGCCGTAGAGGCCCCCAAGATTGCGCCAAAACGGCCCAAGTGGCCTCCAAGAAAGTCAAACCGGTCCAAGTGGGCTCCAAGACGGCCCAAGAGGCGCCAAAGACGGCTCCAAGAGGGGACCCAGCTGGGGGACCCGAACGGGCATTTCGAGCCCTCGGCCCCGAGGGGCCCCTAGGAGGCCCCGAAAGGCCCCCGACAGGCCCCGAGAAGCGCCCAGGAGGCCTCAAGAGGCCCCCAAGAGGCCCCCAAGAGGCCCCCAAGAGGCCCCCAAACTACCCCTAAGAGGCCCCCGAGAACGCTCCGAAGAGACCCCAAGAAGCATCCCTGAGAACTCTGACCAACAATCCAAGCCGAAGAGTCTCTTCGCTTCTCCTACCCGCCCTCTTCCATTCCCCCTCCCCGCAGCGGCCAATCTCCTCCACGGACTGCACCACCCAATCACCGGAGGGCCATAGAGGGCCCAGAATGAACAGAATGCGTTAATCTCGATCCTGATGGTCCTCCTCTTCGATGCTCCTCCGCCTCCTCATCCTCCTCCGCCATTATCATCCTCCTCCGCCTCCTCATTTCTCCTCTTCACATCTCTCTATCGCTCTCTCTCTCTCTATCTCTGTGTTTCTCTCGCTCACTCTAAGCATCTCTCTCTCTTTCTCCCTATGCTCTCGCGCTGCTTCTACTTTTCTCTCTGCCTCTCTCTCTCTCTCTAGTTCTGCCTGCTATGCGGCGCCGCGCATCCCATGGCGACAGGAGAGGCCGGGCGCACTTGATGCCGCGCTCCTCGTAGGGAGGAGGGGCCTTCTGAGCCTGCGCCGGCGACGCCGCTTGGGGGACAAGGACAGGAGGACAAGACAAGGCACCGTGAACCGAGCCCAACACATCGTCAACTGCGCGACACCTACTACATGCTGGCATCGGTCTGGCCCTGGGCCTATCGAGGCACATTCCCCTTCCCTCGCAGGTGAGCACCCGCCAGCAAGCGCTTCAGCATCGCAGGCGTCAAACTTCTGCGCTCGACAGAGGAGGAGGAGGAGGAGGAGGAGGATGAGGAGGAGGAGGGAGAAGGAGGAGGGGGAGGATCAAGGAAATGTTCTGCCTTGGCTTGTTTACGCCCCTCCGCGTGGATGCAACGCGCGACAACTGAACATAGATGTGCAATGCACCGCGCACACCCTTACACATTGGCAAATCACTGATCAGCATGTCATCCCTTTCGTTTGAGCGTCTCTCGCCCGCGCTTGGCATGGCTGTGCTCAAGGTGTGCCAGGAAGCAGTCGGGTCACGAATTGCACATTGCATGTGTGATTAGCCACTCCTGTTACACAGACCTCTTCCAGTGCGCTTCAAGCTCAGTGAAAGCAAGTGACGCTCATCCTGCGCAGGAAGTGCTACGGACTGCCCAAGGCATGGATGTGGAGTGGACGTGTCATTCAATGCAAGGCATATTCCAGAACGCCCCATGCGATCAGCGCAGGAAGCTCGCACTACCTTCATGGGGAGCAGGGCAGAAGAGTTTCCGATGTCCAGCACCGACTTCACAACAGCCTCAATGACATCGACTTTCCCATTGCGGTCCTGCTCAATTCCAGCATAGAACTCATCTGAATGATTGTGCCCAAGATAAACTGAACTTGATACCTGCATACTTTGAATCCAACGCGCTGCAAGTCTGACTTGGTAGACGGCCGGGTCTACAAACATGACCCCGCTGCCGAATATTCGAGAGACTGCTTTTGCCAGAACAGGAAAATGAGTGCATCCAAATACCAAGTAGTCGATCAAGGGCGTCCCATCTGGGCCCAGGTAGCTCCTGAACTTCTTTCGAAGCATTACCTCCACCTCTGGTACCTGTGGCCCTTTTTCCCAAGGGTGCATGTGATCGACAGCCAAATGGCACTCGCTGCAACCGATACAATCTGATGTGCGTGCTTGATCCTCGAACTCCACCGCGTTTTCAACTATGTAAAAACCTTCAGCTGTGCGAATGGAAGCCTGTATAAACCCAGACAAACATACAGAATCCGATGCAAAAATGCCTACAGCTCTTCTCTGCGGATCGATACGGCTCCTCGCTGCGAAAAAATTACCATAAGGGGGAGTGATTGGAATGACCGGATGATCTTTGAACGCGTCGTCCTGAAAAATCCCATGTTGGCCCATTGCATATGAAGCTAGATTGCAAGTCACCAAAGTCATACCAACGCCGCGGGCTTTCTGAAGCCATGTGACAATGTCACGGGAGAGCTCGGCGACACGGAGTGATGATATCTTGCTGTACCCTGGTTCTTCCAGGTCTCCTAGAAAAGCTACACGGACGTGAGGGAACTGCTCCTTTAGCTCCTTGTATACACTGAGGCCACCGATACCACTATCGAACATACCTACTTCGGGAGAATGGTCTCTGGTAACAAGTTTCTTCACAACTTGACTTCTGAGCGAGTGAAGCTCCTCGGCTTCAGAGCCACGATTCGAATCTAGCAGCATGTTGATCGCTTCATCCCATCCCTGACGGACAGGGTGATGATAGGCCATCCAACTGCGGATGCTATGACCCGAAATGTGAGGCTCAACTGTCGGCCCACGTGACACGAGCCGGATTTGCTGCGCTCTCAGAAGCGACCCACAGCAGAAGTGGACGCATCCGCCAACAAATGTCAGACCCAGACGGATCCAACACATGACGTAGCTACATTAGTCAGACATGCTCAAGCGCCAAGGGATTGTAGTCAGGTGCGTTTCTTGAGCCGAAGAGGCTACGAACTCCGATCTGGGTCGTGTTGATGCCACGACCTGCAATAGACCCGAGGTCGGCAATGCCACTGTGGCAGGGGCACGTGGACTCCTGGACAAGACTACGAGAATGATGACAATGCGACAACAAATCGGGAACCCATTATTCGTCAAACAATGACATCAACATAAAAGCAAGACTCCTACCGCGGAGGCGATGAGGCGTTGCGTAGAACAACGTGCAACATCGCACTCATGCGCCGCACATGCGCGTACGCGTGCTGCAGTCCCAGCAGCGCGGGTCCTTGAGCAGGATGGGGAGGAGGCCGAGCAGGGAGAGCGACAGTAGGCAGGAGGATCCGACTCGATCCTCCACTTCAACACCAGCTTGCGAGGTGCGCCGCCCGAAGCGACAGAAGGGGCTGAAACCGAACCCATGGCAACTGCGTTGGCTGCTGTCCGTGCTCCAGAAACGGCGCTCCCGCGTCAGGTGCACTCCTGGTCCGAGTCTGTGCTCTTCCTGCATCTAGGTGGCGACATCCGAACCTTACCCCCACCAACTATCGATTCTCCTGAACCGATGGGATGCGTGTTCGACGAATTCCGAGCCCTACCCCGCCGCCCATCGAGCTGCCCGAATCTTTGATCGGCGGGGGCGGGGTTCGGATTTCGCCGCCGAGCAGCGCCGCCACACTCACGGCCGACACTGGTGCCGAGGCCTGGTGCGAACCGAACCACAATATGAAGTCGCCACAGCGCAGGCCACAACCCCATTTGGAACAGCGGTTTCGCAAGAACGCAAAACCCACTCATGGTCATGGTTCACTATGGCGCCGCTGCCTCAGGCGAGGGTGAACACTCAAGACTCATGATTTTCCGCTCACGCAATTCACTTCACGTCGCACACGTGTTTGCTTTTTCTGGGCGAAACAGCGTCTGTGCGTTCGTTTTGTATTTGTGTTCTTCTTCCAGCGGGGAAACTGGAAGGGCCCCGTTGGAGTGGGTCCGCAGAATTGTGGGACCTTGGCCCAACGGCCCCGCCCAAAGTCCTTAGGCGGGGCCGTTGGGGCCGTGGGTAAAGATACTCCACTTCCTTTCCGTGCGTGCCCGGTAGATCGGCAAATTTATGACTGCGTGATGCTAGGTCTCTGCATCATCCCCGTGGCAATACATTGGCTTCAACATCTGGACATGTTGGGTTCTGCGATATCGATCGCTGCACGTGCTGAAACCGCCTGCCAGCAGGTCATTCATTGCTCAATTGAGGAAACACATGTCCTGGCGAAGGACACTGCCATATGCAAATGTGCATACCGCGAAGCAGATGACATCAAGGTGGGGTTACGAAGCGTGCGAAAAGCGGTCCGAACCGGGTGCGGGTACGCCATGCAGACACCGCCGCTGGGTCCTTCGGTGAAGCTCCCAGTGTGGCCACGACACATACAAGGCGAATCGGGTGCCAGTGCGTCATGCGGATCCTGCCGCTGGGGCCTTCGGTGGAGCTCCCTATGGACCACGAAACGTGTGAGGGACGTGCCGAATCGGGCGCGGGTACGCCATGCGGACCCTGCCGGTGGGCCCTTCGGCGGAGCTCCCTACTGGGCCACGAAGCATGCGAGAAGTATGCCGAGTCGGGCGGCGGTACGCAATGCGGGCCCTGCCGCCGGGGCCTTCGGTGGAGTTCCCTATCAGGCCACGGAAAGATTGAGGGGTGTGCCACAAAGAAGCGGGGCCGCCATGCGAACCCTGCCACTGTGGCCTTCGGTGGAGCTGCCTATGGAGCCACGAGACATGTTAGGGGCGTGCCGACATGCGAGGGGCCCCCACGCGAACCCTGCCACTGGGGCCTTCGGTGGAGCTCCCCATGGGGCAACGAAACGTGTGAGATGCTTGCCGAAATCGAAGCGATGCCGCCATGTGCGCACTTTGTCACTGGGGGCTTCGCTTGAGATTCTCATGGGGGCACGGCGACGAGGACATACGGAGAGCAGAAGCACGGAGAGGAACGATAGAGGAGGGGGAGGAGGAATGAGTGAGTGAGACTCGAGGCGCTGCGGTCTCAAAACGAGAACCCAATTACCACGGGATGGTTGGTTAGAGAGGGAGGCGGGATGGGAGGAGACGCAGGACGCTGCGGACTCAAAACGAGGACCCAACACCACAGGACGGTTGGGGAAAAAGAAAAGGGGACAAAACATGCGCGTGAACCGAACATCGCGAACTTGATCCATGACCGCAGCGACAACTTGCCTACTACGATTCCTACCAACATGGACCGACCCGAAGATGGTCCCCATGAATCCGCAAAATCCGAAACTTCCAGGACACCGTGTCAATGATAACGCCAACTACCCTGGCCAGGCCCTTTCCTGCGTCAGGGTCAGTCTGCGCGCCTCCTGGATGGGGCCAGGAACGCATTCACACAATCACAAACACACACGCACACGCACACACACACACACCAAAAAACAAACACACAAACTCACAAACTCACACACAAACACATGCGCACACGCACACACGCACGCAGGCACACAGGCATACAGGCACACACGCACACAGGCACACACGCACAGAAGCACAGAAGCACACAAGCACACAAACTCACAAGCACACACACACACACACACGTACACGCCAGTCGTCGCGCCGTGGTAGAGGCGATCCGCTCGCGCGTCGAGGAACCCGGGTTACGGCATGTCGACTTGTCCCACATGCAAGCGGGGGGACGGCCAGCAAGGCACACACAAAAACACACACGCACACACGCACACACGCACACACGCACGCACGCACACACGCACACACGCGCACACGCACAGACGCGCACACGCGCACACGCGCACACGCGCACACGCACACAGACACAGGCACAGACACACGCACACGCACACGCACACACACACACACACGCACACACACACACATTCACACACACACACACTCACACACGTATATATATATAGATATATATATATATATATATATGTTTTATATTGGCGGTAGCAGCCACGCGCGCGGTGACGATGCGTAATTAAACAGTAAGAGTACGAAGCGCGGAGCCGCGGCTGGGCCCT